TAGCTGGTAATATTTAATTACGTATTTTCATGTGGAAATAACGTTTTCTTGCTGATTACGGTTATATATTATGAGTCAAATATATGTTCATTGGTATCTCACATCGGTAGCCGAGAACATTAACTCGAGGATACTTTAACTTTCTCGACTCGCTGGGTCGCGGACGCGAATCCCTCTTTAGGTATGCACGATTGCATGTGTTGGACATGGTGGGGCTCTCCCAACCACCATATGTCACCTTTCAACCCTATTACTTCCATCATTATAGTCATTATTCTTCCACATAGTTTTTAGCCAATTTAGCCAAGGTGGGCTTATATGAATCCTCGAACGGCACTTATTGAAACATACGAGACTACGGAAAAGCAAAGCGAATGTACTCCTGTGAGTTGCCTCCAACACTGTATTCAAAGAGTATCATTTCAAGTTGCACAATATTGAGTTTATCTATAGATTAGTAAATGTGCAATTCATGTAGTACATGTAATTGATAATATAATCTGTAAGCATCATGAAAATTAACACGTCTTTTTGTATAGTATCGAAAAATATATTGTAACGTATTAGCCAGCGTGCCTCATGGCATCTATTTGGGGACGCTTGGTTGCGGATTAGTCCTCGCCATAGGAAGAAGGGTTTTCCGTAAAGGGAAGAACGCGGAGGACGGGAGACACAAGGCTTTGGGTGTCTTCCGGCTTATAGAAGCTTTTCACTGTTATAACAAGCGAGGGGTGACGTAAGGAGGTCACGTGGGCCTCGCCTATATAACAGAGTGTACGGAGCCAGTAGGCAGGTTCTGGAGACGGTGGGAGAACCTCCTGCGTGTGCACAAAACTTGGCGCCACGACGGTGCATATGCGAGACAGGCTCGCGAGGCTGGAGTCATTAGTTGACGAAGCCTGCGGACTTTATGTCCTTGGGTGACTGCGGTCACGGGGGAGCGATGCTGTGTGCGTGCTCCGAGGTAAAGAGTGGTGAGTGCCACGATTCACGCCGATTCTCAATCGGATAAGATCGCTCCTGCGATCGAGGCAAACCAGCCGTTGGTGCGCCAGAACGGACTTTGTGTCCCAGCGTGACATCCGGTCACGGAAGCTAGGCTTTGTGCGCGCTTCAAAAGTAGGAGTGGCGAATGCACAATCAAAACCATCTTCAATCGGGTTTTGGATCGCTCCCGCGATCAGGGGATAGTAGGTCTATCAGAGCTAGGGTTTAAGTAGATTATTAAGTGTATATATTTGTTTTGTTTTCTTGTTAATAAATATATTTGTTTATACGAAAGCTCTGTGTCTGTGGTCGCTGTGAGTATCCATGACGTCACAATATCTTATCGTTGTACTTACCTTATCTTCGTGCACGGTAAGACGGCAGCATTGCTGCAATGCTTTCCTGTGTCATTAACGTACGATCATCTGTCGAGCACTCTTGTAAGAGAGTGTAATAGTAAGCAAGAAAACAAATGCCGTGTCCTTTTCTCTCGAACTAGGGAATGGATCTGTAATCATTGTTAGGAGTAATTATGTAAACGATATACGTATAGTACTGTCTTAATCGAAGGGCCTCAAGGGAGCTTTCTTATCATACAGTTATAAGTGAATTTATAACTCTAAATTAAACCGTTAGCAGAAGTAAATGCAACTTAAATATGAATAAGTGCAGCTATAAGTTTTAAGTATTTATTTTGTATCAGTCAGACACATTGTCCCTTGCTTTTATATTTATATTTACAATGTTTTCATATTTAAAAGTATGGATGCATTTATGTTAAAATGTAGCCATGAGAACTCCATGTCACGTAATACTGATTAATGCAAAGTTGCGTAGATGACATAGCTCAGTAAACCTATAGTAAACCTCAGTTAATTTATATTGATGAGAAAATTTAGTACTCATCACTTCACTCTTGCCCAGTTCTTGAAAAGATGAGTATATGAATCTTCTCAGCAATCTAAATTACAGTCAACAATAAATCGCGCGAAGTCCATAAAGTGTCGTTGCGCATTGCCTCAGTTTCAAGGAAAGTGAAAGGGGCAGACCTCCACAGAACAGGAGCCGCGGCCTCTTCCAGCGCGACGCCGCGGTTTCTGTAATAAGGTTACATTCGTGGGATACACAGTTCGGAATCTTCTTGTGAAAGACGTTTTGTGGGGAGAAACCCCAGCAAATAAAAAAAAATTAAAAAGCTTGTAGTAATGGACTGCGCCCAGATTCACGCTAGTTATATAATTTGTTAACGTACGCTCAGAAGGGAGAAAATGTATATCTTACATTCATGCTTCCATATTGTGTAAAATGTGTCTAATGATAATTCTTCTCGTAATTTCGCATAGATCGGATCAGATCCTCGTACTCAGCAAATTGCGTAATTATTTTGCATTCATTAAAAACTTTTCAGCACATTCATTGAAAGCTGCTTTTTGATTGGAACATTTGTTCTAAATAGAATTCCATGCACAATGCACATCTTACAATAATAATTAGAAAGGATATATCACGAAAATTATCTTATTTCGTTCACGAAAATAATTATTTATTCTACATGTGGCGAAGAAGAAGACTGGGTACATGTCCTGGAGTGACGCATAGGTGTAGAAGCTAACTGCGAGGAAATAAGTGAATAAGATAAACATAAATATTTCATATGTATCAGCGAGATGGATAAAAGTAGGTAGGAGGAGAGGGGAAGAGTAGGAATTGCATTCAATAATATATGTGTAGAATGGGTTTGGGGGAAGGAAAATATATTGTGAATGAAAAAGTCAAGTGTTAAAAGATGAGAGTAATATGGTATATTGCACAAGAAAAATATGGAGATTAAATTAACGTAAGAAAAAAGTGAAGGTTTAATCCAACTGGGGTTCTGTGGACACAGAAATGAATTTGAAATGTATTAATAGTAACATTGCAGCAAACATTAATTGCAACAAATAATTTCTATATTTCTATAATGAAGTAGTTCTATATTTTTAAAAAATACCAAATTTCTTATGTTGTTCCTCTGAACTAGATTTCTTGCGTTCAAACGGCAATAGTTATAAACGTATTAGAGACACCGCGACCGATATGAAAGGCTGTTGCCGCAGTTCGCATCGCAGACGTTTTGTAACAGCAGTTGGAATATAATGCTAGTATGAATGGCTTGATGAAAGTTTTATTTATAAATCTCCTTTCTCTTTTACCTCACACAAAATGCGGGGATCCATTTTGCATTTCTCTCAGTCAACAAAACCGAACAAACTTCCTAACTGCTTGTAGTCCCGCAACCGGTGTTCTTGAAAACATGTCGTACAAGAAAACGTGTTAGTTTACACAAGAAAACGTGTTAGTTTAATATCTAAAAAAACATTGTTGTACAAGATGGCAATTTGACGTTTCAGGGCTTCAAGGTGATTCGTAATCCTATACTTAACTAAGGAGTTCCTTCATTGTAAATTTGAGGGACAATTCTCGAGTAGCACTAACTTTCTCTCCAGGAAGCAGAAAAACCTCGCTGATGTTGACGCACAAAAAGGAGTGATAAACGCTCTAACGACTTAGCCCGAATAGGAGTCCTCACATCCAGCACGTCTTACAGCCTACATGACGGCAGAGAATATACATATCAGAGAGTATCATGACGGCTGAATCGTCCCGTAGACACGTCCGTTATCTTCACCGGGCAACTGAAAATTATCTTTTTATACGTCAGCTCGGCTGCAACATTTATGAAGAATATTAATATTAACAAGATACAAATTTTGATTTGGTTGTCTTTTCTTATAATTTACATTTTTTAATCATTTAATCAGCTTAATTAATATTAGTTGAGAGAAAGAGAAAATAAATGAAAAATATAAAAACTAAATATGAGTCAGTCTAAAATATTGAAATAAATTAGCATTAAATAAGATGCAAAATAAAATGCAAGATCTACCATTGCGTTTACATTTCAAAGAAAATTGAATATTTGGTTCTCATAGCCCTCTGTGATTCACGTAAGAATTATATTACGAGAAAGATTTCACAAGTAAAGAATTCTGTTTGTGACTGTTATACTTCAATATACATAATAAGTGTGTCATGATATCTATTTTTAAATCTACTTTAAAAAAATATATAAACAAAAAGATTGGTGTGGAAAAATATCGTACATATACCTACTATTTAGTTGACACGAGTAAACTTTTATTCGTTTTATTTTAGTATTTACCTTCAAAACAGCTTAAAATGTACGTGACGGACGTGTTACGATTACCAAGTTAAACATATTATTTATTAAAACAAGTGTGGCAATTTAGCTTGAAATCACATCCTCTCGGGCACACTAGGGTCTCATCAACTTACTTGTGACAATGATAGCTATTTGAAAAATATAATTATTTTGAAAAAATATATATATTTTGAAAAAATATAATTATATTTGGAATTTTTATGATCAATTATATAACTGAAAGTAAAATAAAAATTATGATCTAACTTAAAATATTTCTCTCCTTAATACATTCAGTGAACAACCATTGCACTTATCCACACCACATCACACAGGGCGTGTGTTCAAAGCTTAGCCTTGAAATATGCAATCATTTTTCTTAGTTTCTGTACATATTGGAAAAAATATTAGTTTTTGTTGAGCTCGCACTGTAGTTTGATGGAATACAAAAGTATTTTTACTAGTGTAACACTCACTCGTAGGTGTGTGATATATTACGAGTACTATTTGTAGATGAGGGTCCACCTGGGTGGCTAACAGCGTTTATTGTCTTAACGCTTCGGTCCGAAGGGTCGCGGGATCGAGTCCGGCCTTCGACATGGTTGTTTGTCTCTCAAGTATGTGTTGTCGCGGAGGACCTCGTGTTCTGCTGATCCCAGATCGGAGGAGCCGTCAAGTGTATGTGCGTGTAGTGTATGCATCCCAACGGTATGTAAAGGGTAACCGTCTTTCGGCTGGATGAAAGCCCTAGGAAGAAAAAAAACATTGCCGATGAGGCGTGTGCTGAGCGTGTTGGCTTTGCGTGTTGCAGACGACCTGATGCTCGGCGGCACGAAGAAGCTGCCTTCGCTGGAGATGAAGGGCATCATTGTGAACCTGGAAGTGGACCCGCCGTCGCCCGAGGTGATGGAGATCGCGCGCAAGGAGCTGCGCGAGACGCCCGACCTCGCGCGCGAGAGCATGGAGGAGCTGCGCAACCTGCTCAAAGGTGAGTGGCCCGTCGCCCTCCGCTCTCCGACCTTCAACCTTCTCAACTCCCCCCCCCCCTACGCTCTTCTCAGGTATTTCGTCACATTCGCGCTCGTCGCCGTACTCACGACCTTCGCGTTTCTTGCGACCTTCGCCGGAACACACGCCCGCAAGTCCTTCGCCCTGCACACGCCCCGCGCTCTATTCATGATATTCGCCCTATTTATGATCTTCACCCTTACACGCCCTTCGCCCGACTCACGCTCGTCCCTTCGCACTTGCACGAGCTTCGCCCTCCTCATGCCTTTCGCCCGACTTGCGCCCTTAAACATACTCAGGCACTGTTGTAAAAACAGTATGATTAATTAACAAACATTTAACAGTTACGATTTCTTTATAAAATCGTGCATTGAGTCTTAGGTTTCTAGGAACAATTTGGTGTACGTGACAAACACTTCATTCTGTCCTTTGTCATGACTTTCCACACTGTCATGACTTTCTCTTATCGGAAAACAAGTTACAAGAGAATAGCAGTTGGGGTCTACTTGAAGTAATGAATATACTTCTATAATGAGAATTATTGCACTCAAAGCACGATCTTACAGCTACTATTGAATACCAAATATTTTAAAAGTTAGTACGTCCTCCAAGAACTCGATTAGCATTGTGTGCGACAACAATATGGGATTTCCCTTTGAGTTTGATGCAGTACTTCCGAGTCGAATCATGAGAATGCTGGGAATCGATTGCATAAGCAATGGTATTCCAGAGAATGTGTTAATGGCCGAACTTACGTGACTTTGTGATGAAGGTAGAGAGGCCTGATATTAGTTACTCTTCGTTCTTAAATATTCTGAAAGGATTTACAAAACCCTCAATCGTTGCTGTACCATCGTCACTCTATAACACGGTATGTGTAGGTAAGAGCAGGAACTGAATCTAACGTAATTCACAGCTAAACTAGTGAAGTTAGAAAGGTATGGTTTGTAATACATGTTCAAATTTACTGAACTCTGCGCGCGAGAGAGTGAAAACTACAGTAGGTTTGCGAAATCATTCATATTGTTCTAATTATTGTTATTTTTATTATTTTAATATGATCAACATACGATTAATGTAAGTAATGAGGTTTTCTCAAAATCCTTCTCTGAGGGGTGAAATAGATACATTATAGCAAGGCAAGGGTTCACGGAGAAGCGGGGCGAAACAGGCAGCGTTGAGCGTAGCGGAGTTATCTCCTTCCTTCTCGCAGGAAGAAATAGTATTCACAGTCAAAAATATACCCCACCCTCGTTGGCGCGGGAAGGAAAATTTTCTATCGTGGAAAACATAACCTCCCCTCTTTTACTCGGGAAAGCACAATCTCTATGGTGAAAAACATGACCGGGAGGTCCGGGTTAGTCTCCTGTCGTTGGCAGAATTTTCGACACTAACATTCAACCGCTGTCCGGACGAGAATTCTAGTGGCTGGCTGCTCTGGTCGGTAGTTTTCCCTGATTTCGCCGATCAACACCAGACAAGTTCCCGAGTATTACCTTCACAAACGGACCGCGGTCCACGCACGAGTTTTCCTTTCTCTTCATCTTCCTCGTCCTACCCTCTCCCCTTACATACACTTACACGCTCTACACTAGCACACACGTTGGGAGACTAGTCGGGAGCTTAGAGCTTGTTTAGGCTGGAGCGGTTCCCCACTGTTTGGAGATTCCCGGGCTGGGGAAAAGTCCGCAAGGTGGTGTGTAGGTCGGCGCCTGATCTCATCATCCAGCGGGAGAAGTATCGTCACCTCCCTTGATAAATCATGCACTACGCTTACGGGAATAATTAAATTTCCCTCCCAACACTTCGCGCTAGAAACACGGAATAATCAATCAATGACGGAACGAATGGCAGGGGAATTGGGAAATCTGCAAGAAAACCCGCGGGTTGTCTGCCTTGCCCGCTACTTGGATCGCTCAACAATCAGTCTTTGAACCCCGCACCCAGAGGTGGAAATTCCCCCTTACGCGCAGCGAGGTAAAAACGCGGTGACGCCAAGAGGCGTGTCCTCTGGCTCCTCGGCAGGTGCCACGGGGCCCGCCACGCTTTTTGCCCCTCCGCCTCTGACGTCACAGGCATCCTGCGAGGGCGCTCGCAAGCGCAGAAACCGGCTCCCGCGCCGCGCCGCGCCGACGCAGACCTCGGAGGAGCCGAACAGGACTCGCAGCCAAGCCAAGCGGCGCACAAACAGCATTGTTTTAAAATGTTAATAGGAATTTATAGCAGAAAAGGGTCAATAAAATGTTTCGCGAGTTGAGCTCGCAGAGGGGACGATAGCAGCTGAAGGTTTTAATTCTTAGGAGTGAATTAAATATTTTATTTTATCCATTACCATGATGTAAACGAAAGAGAGAAGCACGTAAATATCGCTGTATACTCAAATGGAACATGATTTCATTGTTTAAAAGTGATTGTTGACAAGGAGACGTAAAACCGAATTGAACTCTGTGAAAAGGAGGCTCTTGAAAATACATTTAACTATGAAATATTTTTTACTCCAGAGAAACTCCATTGCAGCTTGTGTTAAGAAAACCAGTTAGAAAGGGCGTGTGTTCGAATGCCTTCCACGTGTCATCAATTTCCTTCCAGGTTTGTTACATTCTAACATATACAGGACGTAGCCCATAGAACCGTTCTTGTGGTAGCGTTCAAATTTTGTCGGCCAAGTTGCAGGGTTTCGCTTAGTAACAGTTGCAAAAGATTCTCTGAAGTCAAACATTTCATAGTTGGAATATATTTTCAAGCCTTCTTTTCACAAAATTTAATTCGATATTCATCATCATTACAAAATCGTGATATTGGCAACAACCTATTGCTAATTAAGTATTAGGTTCTGGTAGATTGCATACCACTTGTTTGCTAAACTCAGTAGCTAAATTTATTTACGCAAATGCTACTCTCGATCACTGAAGAGCAGTTAACGGTGAAATGTGGCTGAGTTTCGACTATGACAGTGGTAGGAATACGTGTTTACGCGGAGCGTCCCACCGAAAGACTATTGACACAGGCGAACCTGCGCGAGGAAAGGACTGTGGAGAATACGCGACCTGCGCGCGAACAGGTCACGCCGGTTCTGAGCGCGTAACGGGTCGCGAACCTAGGCTTGCGGCAGCGGGCCGCCGACTGAGCGACTTCAGCGGGAGACGGTGGAGATACAGAGTGGCTCTCTCCCTGCAGGGTCGGGTTTACCTATAAGCAAACTACGCAGATGTCGTAGGCTTTCGCGGCCAGAGTCATGATCTGGGCTGTCCGAGTGACGCCGCGTTGATGGCTGAGGTGCCGACGTTTCGACCGATATGTCGCGGTCTTCTTCAGGGCTGTACTGCCAATACAGCCCTGCTAAGGACCGCGATTTGTCGGTCGAAACGTCGGCACCTCAGCCATCGACGCGGCGTCACCCGGACAGCCCAGATCAGCAAACTAAGCAGTTGCTTAAAAGCCTCCATCGATGATCGGCTCCGCGATCTGGAAAACTAGTACCGGCTTAGGTGGCTCAGGGCATCAGATGAGTCGTCGGTGATAGACAACCTCCTTGATGATTGTATTGACGATTTGTACATGTTACTATCAAGGTTTCAAAATTTGCTTGTTCGTTAGTTTGATAAAAAATCGAAAGAAAACTAGAAATTGTGGTATTAAAAACAAAAAATAAAAACCTCGTATGCGACTTTTATGACTTATTGATCATAGATTATCTCGTATGTTGTAAGAGCCACATGGCAGGTTTTCGTAACATGCTTTCAAAAAATACTACATAAAGTAAATATTTAATACTATTATATAGAAAGTGTTGAATGCCTAAACTTAGTGCATTATTAATATCAAAAAGTGAATTTCCTTCCTTCCTGTATTTTTTTTACATAAGACCATCATCAATGAGATGACCTATTCACTACAGTGCCTCTGACTGGGAGGTTCTAGGGTTCCCGATCGTGGGAGGATTTCCCACATTAGCTATAGCTATGTTAAATTCATAGTGTTCAACATAGTTTTCAAATGATTTACCAATCCCTTATCTTAAACCACGTTGTTACGATCAAATTAATCTGTAATTTGGGGAGTTTTTAAACCTTCAATGTTTTCTCTTTCAATTTCTTCCTCGATAATTCAGAGTGAGACTGCATAATCTTAATTTCTCAATGTGATAAGGCCCGTACGCCCAAATCCCTGACGGAACAAAGCACGCAGAGGGCAAAGTGATTGACGGAGGGTTTGGTGTGTTGACTGACCGCGCGCGGTGCTATGTTGCAGAGGACGAGGAGCTGACCACGCCCTACGAATACAATAAGTTCCTCGAGCGCTTCCTGCGGCCCACCAAGTTCTACCCCGAGAGCGCCTACGACCTGGTGAGTACTCGACGTCGACGCGTAGCGCAACGTAGCGGGTTGTCGTTGTCATTTGTCTCGACCTGCCAACGGGATATCGTGTTAGAAACCCCTGGATAAACAAGGGAAACACTTCTTGAGGTTTTGGAGACTACATCGCTTTTTGGTTACACGTATTGTGGGTTTTATGCAATAGTGTGCATGATTTGTTTAAGATATTAGCATTGACAACTTCTTAGAATTCGTAGAAGTTGATAGGACCACACCTCTCTGACTATATAGGCATACTAATTTCACGTTGCAGTTTGAAAAGTGATAATACGATGACCAAAGCACATTCTTTACTATACTTACAAAATATCCTATGGCGTTTCACTACAGAAAATATAAAATAGAAAATAAAACAAGTTTACACACAATTAGTATGAGTTAACACACCGAAAGTGGCCTTGAATTTTCAATGAAAATGTAATAACAGCACCGGTCGTTCCCACTACCACATTCAACTTTCATTTGTATTCCTAATTGGCGTGCATCTGACTCACGTTATCCCGAAGTTGTGGTTGCAAAGTTGCTCTGGAAAGCACATGGAGGCGAATCGAAATCGGATAGGTTACACAACAGATTAACGAGTTTCCACTTACAGCGAAAGCGGCTTTCAGTAGTACTTCTGACTTTATGCCAAGGAAAGACTTTGACCTCGTGAAATTATGTTGAGTTTCTAATGTTCCTTTTACAAGGAAGCTTCCACAGGAAGTTTCCTTGCTCATCACCATCAGAACTTGCTTTCAAGAATCTGCTCGAGAACTTGCAAATATTAAAATTGCTTAAAGTTAGTAAACTGTTAGCACACGTATTTATTCTTTAGTTCCATTAATGTATTCGTAAATATTTCCTTGAGAGATGTGTACGAAAAAGAGCTTTTTATACAATCCATTTCTATGTACTTTACAATTGCCTTTACATAGATTTCACTGCTTCAAATTATGTGATTTAGCGACACAATTAGTACCAGACTAGTCTTAAAAAGTGATACAAAACAAGGCAAGAAACTCTATTCGCTTTTTTGGAGCCGAGTTTCCTCATAAGACGTTTTTAGAGGCCACTGAACTTGCAATCAGGCAGCTAGTGAAGACTTCCCAACTTGTCAGACGAGCTTTGAACTCCACATCGACGTTGCTTCGGCAAGCAAAGGGAACAATTATTATTATTATTATTATTATTATTATTATTATTATTATTATTATTATTTTATTATATTAATGATGATGATGATATTGCAGCACTTTTTGTCAGCTGGGAGGGGAAGTGCAGTTTCTTTTGGAAAATGGTTCTTTTACTTTCTCGTACATGTTGTCCAGAGAAAGGTATGCAATGTTGCAAAAAATCGATGACCACGTTTTAATGGAAAACACACACTTAGAGGCTCCCTGACACAATTTTTTTGTCTATCCATCTGCATGTTCCTCTCTCTATTCATGTCTGTTGTGAACAACACAAGCGCCTAAACCATGCATAGGCTCTTCTCTCTAATTAATATTCCTCGACCGATCTTCCTCAGCTTGAAGGCCTTACAAATTTGAAATGAATATCTATTTTATTTTCTGGTACTTTACTTGAAATCCCTACATTTTTGGAATGTTACCAAACTGACATAAATTTCTTTCTTTGATTTTCTTTTAACAAAATAGAGGGAAGAACGTGTATAAAAATGGAGCATATCAGATTTTCGTTAAAATTACTGAATTTTAGAAAATTTTAATATTCTCATTACAGAATGCCACGTCATTAATATTCCCATCACAATATGTTTTATAATGTAATGCATTAGTGCTTCAAAGGATCCTTTATAAAGGTTTTAGAAATCTCAAATTTTTGGAAACTTTCAAACCACATTTTCTGTCGAGCAGCTCCAAAATTTACTGCAAAGAGTTTTTGGGTCTTGTATGATATTTTGGAAGTCTAATTTGAATATTAATACATTAAACTCTTAGAGGAAGAAAAATTGAGAAGACATGCAAAGAATGTTGACGTCAGCCAAGTTGGAGGGGGCAGGATGAGATATTTGATTAGCCGTCGCGCAGCGGTCGCAACGAGGGATGGGGAAGAGGCGATAGGAAAGGTGCGGGAGACAGACGGGTCCTCATGCGTCAAAGAACAGGTTTGCACACGCCCCGCCCTGCGCCCCGCGCCGCCTCGCGTCGTCCTCCAGCCAGTCGCCTTCCGGCGAGGCGCCCCCTCGACCGCGACCACAGGCCATGCCTTAGCGCCGTCCTCGACCCGACCACGCCGCCGTTCCCCGCCACCGTCCCGTTCCCGCACCGCCCGTTCCCCGCCACCTCGTCGTAATACCCAGTCTCACTCAGCGCTGACCCGTCCAGTGGTCTTCAGTAGCTGATGTGGCTGGCTGCAGCAGAACTAAGATTGCCACACCATCTATACAGCATCTCAATATGCGAGACAATTGTCAGAAGGATTTATAGGAATCTAACGTGATGAATCGTAGCCCTTGTTTATAACGTCGGGGAGGAAACATTGATGAAATTGTGCACGATTTTAAATAAATCCGAAACGGTGTTAAGAATGCGGTAGAACCTTTGTTAACAAGTAAAGGGGGTGTTTTCGCATAACGAAAATTTCTGCGAAGAAGAAAGTTACATTTGTAATGTCAGTGGGGCGGAAGTTGGTTTGAGAAAATCACACAGGAATCAAGACAATCGTCTAAAGAAGAAACACTTACCCCAGTATCTCTGAAAGATAAAACTAAGATGCGGCCACGAAAGTTATATTAGTTTGCTTAAGCAGGTGATTTTATACTTTTCGTTACAGAACAGGAGAATAAATGGGAAAACGCCATTTATTCGATGATCGGTATAAATGTTAGGAGGCAGTCTAAAAAAGTCAAAATTAAAAGAGAAAAACATGATCCTTCTTCGTTCGCACAAAAAAACTGTTTTTGACAGAGTTTGGGGAATTTACCACATACAAAATAGGAAAGTAAGATTCACTCTCGCCAACATAGTCCCTCTTCTCTCTTCTGCGTTCCCAGAATTATACCAGCGCAGGAAGTCTGTAAGGAGACTCAACTCTGGAGGCGGTACTCTGCCAAGGGCTACAACTTCATATATATGCTTGTTCTACCAGGGGCACAAGTCTCCGGGGTGGGCACCAATGGCATTGCGCCTTTATCCGCAATCCCCGCCGCCAGACGCACAAGTGACGTCTACAGGCTGGTATCCGGATCCCGCCGGAATGCAGTTTGCCCTCACTGCAACCTCCTCATTCAATGCCTGGGTTGGACCGCTCTGCCTGCTCAGAGCTACTAGCTACCTAAGCTAGATCTGGAGTCCAAACAATGCGCTACTCACATGTGTCGGGGAAAAAGTCCCCTCCTCTTTGCCCAGAGTATCGAGCCACTATCACGACGAAGGCAAGGGCCCAACAGGGAACTAAGGTTCAGTTTGCCACCCCCTTCCCGTCATTTCACTGCCTACACCTTTAGGCTATTGACATGAGTATCGCCAGATCCTAGGCAACCTGGCAGGTGGTGTCAGTTTCCCGCCGGACTTCTGAATGTGGATTCCAGAGCATTCCCAAGAATCTCCTTCACCCGATCCTGCCCAAATGTCGACGCGCCATTTATAAAGAAAATAAACATGAAATGGTAATAAGTAAAGAATATTCTTATAAGATAATATAGTTATAATTAATTTTGAATTAATTAATAACTATATTATATATTACAACCTAATTACATATGAGAACTTGGTGGCATATCTTAACTTTACCTTCAATTAGTTTCATTGCCCAACAATACAATACCTAATACTAATATCGACTTTAATAGAATGAATCTGGCAATCGTATTTCCATATGAAGCCACTATTCCCTACCACAAGCACCTTCCGTTTGCGCGAGTGCATACCTTTGTGGTTTTGAAGGGGAAATGACAGCGGAGTCAAAGGAAGTTGTCCGGCGCTCCTTTGAGGACAGACAGGCTTTCCAGGCTGGCAACTGGCTCTTGTGGGAAACAGTCTGACCTGTCCGTCCTAGCCATTCAGATTTCTGAACAGAGTTCTCCTAAGGAGTTCCAAAAGTAAATTATTTCAGGTGTTCAATTCGTGTTGTCTTAAATATTTTTCCTATAACCACCAGCTTTCTTTTGTAAATTATTTGACCTACTTTTTATTCTGCCTTCCCGCACAAAATATTTTCTAGAAGTTTAAGTATTATTTGATAAAATATACTTCTTTACCCTGTGACGAAAATGGAATGGAATTAGATCGGCGCTTACGGTAAGAGACTAAATACATTTTTTTCTGGAATACACTAAGTTTTCATTTCAGCACAAATACATAAGTGGAACAAGGATAATATTATCTGCATGTCGTAGACCTAATTAACGTGTCCTTCGAGAGAAGATTGCTAAGCGATTTCAAAGGGTATATTTTGTTACCTCACTTAAATTGGATGTGCACTTTCTTTCTGTGACGTAGTGTGTTATTTCTACATAACTTCATTACTTAAGGTCGTCGTTTTTCGTCTGATAATCATTTGCTTCCTTCTGTGTGCTTTCAAAATTGTATTTTCTGAGTAACGTGTAATAACTCATAAAATAATGAGTTTCTTATCTACTTTAATGAAATGCGACTGACCAAAACGATTTCATTTTATTCCTTGTATTTTATTAATACGTGATTCGTCGTAACAAACCGGATTGTCCTAATGGTGGTAAGTTTATAAAGAAAATTGTCAACTCGATTCCCTTTCTGTGTTTTGCGTAAGATTCAGTTAAAGCTTGCTTCGACTTGAAGTTAGCTGCTTAGAAACTGCGGTCTTCATTTGGACATCTTCAATAGTTTTGTTTTAGATAATAAGCCTAAGAAAGATTACATTCCTGGATAAGATGAACCATCTTATATTAGAAATAACTGAGGCTGAACAGCCGTGTTGCATCACGTACTAGCCACCAAATTAGAATTCTATAAACTCTTAAAAAAAAGGAAGTCTATTAAATTGTAGAGTATTTCCATTCACTAATTTATTCAAACTAGTTATTTACTCGTGTTAATATTCTCGAAAATCTTATCTGCCATTTTAACTTAGTTAACAGCAAAATATGTAAAACCGGGATTTGTAAAGTTCGCAATTAGGGATTTGTAAAATTCGCAATTCGATAGTAATTCAATTACTATCCATTCAATTTTTGTATTATTGTTGCTACTATCGCTATCTAATGACCTCCATGCTGCCAGCCAGATGCAGCCGATTTTTTCCCCCAACAGTCGGTCGCAAACAGAACGATACAAGAAAAACATGACTGAAGTCTTGTAGAGCCTGGCCTTGATTTCTCGGCCATAATCTTTTTTCAATTCTTATAGCCAGCTCCAATTTCAGATTCTTGTGTTATCTTTTTCGCGTTTCCTTTGCTTTTATTTTTGGTTTAAGCTCAATGTATGATATGCCTAGAAATAATGAAAAGCTCTCTGGGCTACTCGATTTTGTTTCCAAGTTCGGTTCTCCGATTTCAAGAAGACTACTTTGTAATATATTATGAACATAAAAGGCTTGTCCACTAGCCAATGTGGTGCAGCAGACTTCCACAAAGTACAAAAATGAATGAAAAGCATGAAAATAATATTTACATTGTAGATCAGATTATATTGTGTGTTATTTTTTGTAATTATTGAAAATTGTTTCCAGTATACAATTATTTCTTAAAATGTAAAAGGAAAAGATTTAGTTAAAATGTAAATGAATGTAGAAGGCTAAATTAATTAAAGTAAACGTAGAATATTACATTCATTGTGTTGTGTTTAAAGATAGCATCACGAATGTACTTATTGTCAATGCACGAGAAAAGTAACAATAAAAAGAAATTATCATATTTTGCAGCAAGTCAATTTTCTTCGACCAGAGTTTATTTCGCAAAGGCTAAGGTTAAACTCGATATACCGGCTGTCTTCTGATAATCTCTATGAAATTTACCTGTAAAACGTACTAGAGTCTAACATTTAACTAAGCAAAATACAAGTTTTGAAATGTGTCACTCTCTTTAATTCACCGACAATATTCAAACTCTCAAAATGTATGATTACTTATTGGTCGAGCCCGTAAGTTTGGAAAATTCCTTTTTGTTATTCTTACTATTGTGTTTTTAACATGAGGATCACTTATTTGTATTTGTGAGTTGTATTAGTAGACTTTCATTTTGCATTTTTGCCTATTTTAGCTTGATTCCTGTTTTGCTTTTTCGTCATAATGTTGCTTTTTTTCTCTGACACGAGTCACGATCAAACTGGATATACACTGCAAGCCCGGACATTAAATGCACAATCGTTTCTTTCTGTGGAAGCTGAGACTTGAGAAATGAGATACCCGTAAGGGTGTTATTTTTCATTAATGCCGACATGCTTTGTTTGCTTACGAGGAATCCATTGTACATTTGAGGCGCCTCGATCCCTTTGAGGACAGCGCTCTGTTTTACAATAACACCTTCTCAGTGCTGGCGATTACACAAGTGCGAAGATTGAAAATATTATTCTGTTTCTTGATGCCATTTAAGATTTAAAAGGGAATCAGCAATAGAATTTCGAAAAGACATGTGCAAGTAAAACAAATTCTTAGCCTTTATTCCGGCTTATCTATGAGTCAAGTTTCAAGAAATGTTGTCTTACACATTGAGTGCTGATGTGTATCATTTAATTTTTACAATATTCCTTTTAAATTTGATATTTTTGTTTGCATGTTTTTTTCACCCCTCCTTGACTAGAATAAATGTGTTTTGCATGCTATTGTAATAAAAATAAATGTATTTTTGCCTACTATTTTAGGTAAATAAAAGCCTGAACTTCCGGCTCTAGTAGTCTTTTTTCTATAATAGCATAGAACATAATCACACTTCTAGTTGATGTCGAAACGTAACTAACGCTCTTTCGCGTGGTGGTTGCAGGTGAAGCGATACTACGACTTTCAAGCTGAAGCACTGGACTTGTACCGCGAGATGTACCCAGCTCGGTGAAGGCGGTGTTCGACCAGGACCTGGTGACGACGCTGCCCCTGCGCGACGAGAAGGGCCGCCGCGTGTTGATTCTGGAGCTCGGCAGTAAGTCACTCGATCGCAAACCTCTCCCAAGAACGAAACACGTCTGCGGAAAAATTAGATATGTTTCAAGTAGTGGAGGTTCCTGAAAGTATTCCGGGTGGAGGGGGACAATATCAGTTACAACTCACGTGAATATTTTTGAAATATATTTATTTCAAGCTAACAAAAATATTAAGTGTGTATTTTTAATATGAATATGGCGTGGATGTGAATTTTGTGTGTGTGTGTGTGTGTGTGTGTGTGTGTGTGTGTGTGTTGTGTGTGTGTGTGGAATGTAAAATAATTTGAATAATCTGAATAAAATTACAAAAACTGTCGGCTTTGTAGGAGAATGATTCCCTTGCATCCTTGTATCCCCCATTACCAGTGGCGGATTTACGTTTTTCGAAGTCCCAAGTTAAAATAGTTGGGACCCTAACTTCTCTTTTTACTGTCACTAACATTTTTGAGATTGTAACCTTTTTATTCAAAATTAATTATTCAATTAAAACATGATTTCAAATTATAATTGAGTTCAAATTTTAAATTTAGTAGTGCGATACTAGTTTTTAATTCTTTTAAGTTTACTAAATTACCTTTCACCAATACAATTTGTAATTATTCAATTTAAAAAAAATGTTTTTTGTCATGCACTCAATTTCAAAACGCAACAAATGAGAATGAAGTTTCCTGTCTTTCAATAAATGTGTTTTTATTGTACATCCAATAGTATAGGAATTGTAGGAAATTGTTTCATCCTCCAATAGCGTGTTTGTAAAATTTATTTAATTGTTTAATTAACTAATTATGAAAATACACTTCCACAATTTTATAATGTTTAAGCAAATTTGCAATTTAATTTCATCTTTTTTGAGGCCCCTTGGGATCTGAGGCCCCCAAGCTTTAACCTATTTAACTTAACTGTAAACCACCACTGGCCACTATTTTTTATGTCTTCCATTTAGCTGTGAAATTTTCCTTGAACAAGCAAATATTTGTTTTTGTAGTTAAGGGGACACTGAATGCTATATCCTGACAATGTTAAATGTTTGTGTCTTATTCTCAAAATATTAGGCTTATGAAATTTCTACAAGTTCGGATGTGTCACTCATAATAACATTGAAGGAACTGTTTTGAAAAAGTTTACTATTTTTGTAAATAAAAATAATTTCTTATAATGCAATATTTTACCTTGTTTGCTAGTAAATAAAGTTTTGCAGAATGGATAATACTATGGTAATCAGAAATAAGTTTCAGTAAATGTAGGAGAACTTTATTAACAACTTCTGAAACTTTCCTATTACAAATGTAAGATAAAAAAAGATTAAGTATTAAAAATATCAACTTTCGTGAAAAAGATGCAACCCTCCTAACACTGTTGCTCTATAGCTTGCCTCATCAGAATAAACATTTTCCAATAACTACTTTTTGAGACTATTTTACGTTGGTTAGCTTCACTGCATGACGTTTTCAATATACTTTCTGCGTGTCTCAAATCTTTGGCTTGCCTCTTTAGCTTGCTAAATTGCCAAACGCCAATTTAAAGAGAAAATTATGAAGATTTATAAAAAGTTAAATACCAAAACACTAGCTTTTGACTGCAAAATCGTTCCGTGTCCCCTTAACTTATTACGAGTTACGAAAGTATTCAGTATTACTAAAAAATTGAGAAAATATTCGTTTTATTTCTACGTTTCTAGTTAATGCTAAGTAATATAAATAAATAATTACAAATGTCCAGATTTAAATTGAAAAATACTAAAGTAGCACGCTAGAATTCGAAAATAGGTTGACGAATTCTTCGCGAACAAATCTTGACCCCCAGATCACACCGCTGGTTCAATCAGACCGAAAATTGTGCTTCTCAAGGCATCTTATAGGCTCTTGGCGGATTACGAAGTGTGTATCTTCTTATTTATTCCACGCAAGGACATGTCTCTCTAGCCCGCATTATGCGTATCTCGCGAATATCTCGCGCATATCAAATGCGAGGTTGCATATTCATAACGACTTCAACACACTTCCAAGAAAAGCACTGTCGTGTTTTAATGTTTTGTTCTTGCCAATTCTAAAGAGATTCGGGGAAGTAAATCTTGAATCATAATTTCCATATCACGTATATCTATTTAACAAGTATAAATTAATAGTGGGTAATAATGGAACTAAAAGCGAGTCTCATTGCCCTTGCGTGGAATGGGAGGCGAATAAAGACAGTTGGATACATTGTTCGTTTAGATCTACGTTCCCACAAAATAATAGCTTCATATGATAAGAATGTGAACTCTCGCTCACTAGCCAAAAAACTCTTTCGTTTTAATAGAAAAGGCGCAAAAACTTCTAGTTTTCAAGGTCTGCGCTGACGACAGATGGAGAAAAAGTTTGAGTTGCCCTTTGACACACGAATAATTTAAGCGAAGAAACCACTTACGAAGTGCACATTACGCCTTTGTTAGATGTTATGAAACCAACAAAAAAAAGTGAAGTAGTCTGGGGAAAGAAATAGTAGAAAGTTGTACAATAATGTGTTAATTGAATAACCTGTACGTAGCTTGCCTTGTAATCACAACCAAGTACGCTTTCCGCAGGTTGAGTTGCAACTAAAGACTATAGAAAGAAAATTAAATGCTTGGCATTCTCTTTTATTCTAATTAAATCGGATGTACAAACAATCAATAACAATAAATTTACAGATTCAAAATAAAATTAATGCATCAGAGAGTTACAAAAACATTACATTTTAGCTCAAAAATACTTCATATTTGATAGCAAGGTTATTTGTTTTCGGTTCTGGTACGATTGCGATTTCGGTTTTGAAACGATTGCAAATAGTTTTCTGATGTTTTTATTAAAACATATTGTGGAAGAAGTTTTCTCTGAAGTATTTGGTGGAGGCATTCATACGTAACAGATTAAATAAATGGGACACCTTGTCATGGTATCTTTATTTGTCTACATACATTTCGACGGCCATGGTGACTCAGAACCTTAAAGTAGTGTCTTGGTACGCGGAGCCAAAGACACAATCTGACTGTGGCATGGTTGGCTTTCTCTTATCACAACGTATCTCATCTGAACGGCATCCCATCGAAAATCATTACACTATTCACCGCCCAAACTCACCCCGCCGTCCTTCAACCACTGTAATCACCTATCCAGCAAAGGGAGGACATCAAGGTTTGAGGTACTCGCTCGCCAGCTAAGAAAAGAGTATAACATTCTTTTTACGTCTACTTAACTAAATATGCTCATTGATTCCATGAAAAATCATTTTCCCTGTGTTAATAGTACGCGTGCAATTAAAACTCTAAAACTGCCAATCGGAATTCAGAAAATAATCAATCGTTTAATTAAGACACCACAACAGACAAGGTATTTCCAGTCGGCCATGACATCAATGCCAATGTACATTACAGATGACGTACCTGCATCAACTTAATATAAGTAGTAAAGGAATATAATTAAATTGGTGAAATAACCTCTAAGCTAGCTGACTAATGGACAACATGAAATATTCACCATAAATAAATTAGTTTTACGTCAAAAAACATTTGGTCTTAGCATTTCAAACGTTAAAAATATAAACTTCAGTTGTGTTTACCCGCACCCCAGCAAATATAGACAAAAGTGACTTTGTACTTCCCAACATTTATGCATGTTGTATTCTCTCTCGTACCAGTTTTAATATGCCTGGGAATTAATATGTTCATGGTTTTATCAGCTTCTTCTAATATTTCGGCCGGAATAAGTTCAAAGTCTTCCCTTTTAAGTTTTATTTAGTCTTAAGTCACTATAATGATCATATGTACCCAACGCATGTCCCACTCAAATAGGTATTTTTCAGAAGCAACACGAAGTCATCAAATAGTATATGCCTCGAATGGTAAAGATATGCTTGAAATTCTCAATATTTAAATTATTCGGAAATGGAAACGTAAAAACATTGAACGTAACATGTGGATAAATGGGTATAATTGCACTCTTGAAAAGTAAGAAACCTCGCTCCCATCGTCGCTCGTTTTCTTGAACATACCATTCATGCAATTATACCCCACTTTATCACTCGTTTCGTCAATTACAATTTTGTTACGCCAATTCTAAGGAGAACCGACAGGAAGCGAAAACGTCCATGCTACAAAAGAATCTAAACTGCAACGTTATCTCATATATTGAGTTATTAATTCTAGAACAGAAATATCTTATCTACTGGCTCTTTGATATTAATAATTTAAATCAACCACTAATTGGCTTCTGATTACCTCAGAGCCGCCTTGTTGATTGTGTATTGGACATCACCAGGTAACTTCAGAGGGTATTATGATCTAAAACTGGTGTGACTTTACCGGGGTGTACTACAACGAATGCATTTAACGGAACTATCGTACATTGATGGGTCTGGGTCAAATATAATCGAAGATTGGGAAACAACATTAATTATAATTGTATGCCACTATCACTATTAGTTATCACAACATTAGTTATAATTTTATGCATGTATCACTATTTGGCCATCGAGTTTCTGTTTCTCAGTGTTGAAGAACTAGTTTCCGGAAGATTTGGCACTGCTGCTTGGCAGTGCGGTCTTGTCAATAGTGTGAGCAATGCAAGCTGTTTCCATGCCCTGAATTGAAGCTCGCACCCGTAGGAGCGCTTGTTTCTTTGGCGGACATTCTCCCACAGTAGGCAGGGCTGTACAAACCCCCCGAGAACAACGGTTTGTGTCGTGAAAAGTGTGAATCTTTATTTGTTTGTTTATTTTTTTAATATCTTCCAGTGTGAGAAGCCTCTATTTTTTTCATAGCACAAAGAAATAGTGAATATCTATCTTTAGAGAGAAAAAAAATAGGCCAGATTTGAACCAGCACCTGTTGAAAGGTCCCTTCTTAGAAATACAGTGGGGCGTCCATTAATTATCCGAACGTTAATCATCCGAAACGTCGAATATACGAACTTATATGTTCTCTAAATTGTTATTTTTTTTAAATTAAATACCGTGTACTATACGTATTCATTTTTTTTTGTAATACTGAATATTGAGAATGATCTCCGGTATGATTGGCAGTGATAAAATATTAACGAAATACAATACTATAGTCAATCATCAGTCTTCAGTTAACTTTGACAAATCCTGTGTTTATTATCTACAGGATTTTGTATGTACAGAGCAGTATTTTAATGGTACGTTTTCTTAAAGAATCTTCATACATACAACACTTTATATAAACTTGCCATTTTTATGTATGATTATTCGAAAATTGGAATATCCGAACTACATCTTGTCCCAATTCGTTCGGATAATCGTCGCCCCACTGTATTTGTTCTATTAGGGGTTGAACAATGGCGCCGATGGGTGTCAGCTGGGAAGAAGATGGAGCAATACCGAAAAACTAGCTCAAGAGATTAGAAAAGTAACTAGAACGAGAAAAATCTGTCATTATGTATCATCGCCAGCTTATTTTTGTGTTTATTGTTGTTTAACCTCTTTGCAATGCAATGCCCCCTTGCTTGTGTCCGCAGAGAAGTGGAAGCACAAGAAGGTGGCGCTGGAGGAAGTGTTCAAGGCGTGCGTGTGCTTCGTGGAGATCGCGGCGCACGAGCCCGAAACGCAGGTGTGCGGAGTGCAGGTCATCTTCGACATGGACGGGCTGTCGCTGCAGCAGGTCTGGCAGTTCACGCCCTCCTTCGCCAAGCTCATCGTCGACTTCCTGCAGGTGAGCACGGAGCTCCCACTGCCGGGGCACCATTGAGATTTTAGAATACTGTGTTACTATTTTGCAAAAGGGAAAATTCTCAACTTTCGACGGTGCTCGGTCGCCATAAGACGACCGTCGTGAACAAATCTGTCGTCAATGTAGCCGGGATTGCAATTCACCTTTACCAACGAGGTCGTGCACGGTTCCAGTATATTTAGTTTCTATCGCAGTAGCTAGTAAACTATTGCGATGTTTTCGGGAAAGCATGTCCCCCTACTCTCGTAGTCGTCACATACGTGTGTAACGCATTTCGCCAACCAGCGTTGCTGAAGTAGCACATTTTTTCTTGCCCTTAGTAACTGTTACGTAATGCTATTTTTTGTATACTAGCATTATAAACGACCTTTTCTGTTGCAAGAAATCATACTTAATTGGGCATTTTACGGCACCAATATTTGCGTCATCACGCATTCATCCAATCACAGCGAGAGAATCGTGAACGGAACAGCCGACCACAGTTTTCTCGCATAGACGCCAAATACGAGAGACGTCCCAAGAAAGTTGTTTCGCAAAATTGAAATTTGATTCTCTTATAAATTCATAATGCTGTTATAAAAAAATAGTGTATGCAACTCGTTTATAATGTTGCTTTATTTCATTGGCGCAAACTTGAAAACTCGCTCCTGACATCGCTCGTTTTAAAAACGCGTACTCGTGCAATAAATCTTAACATTGTAAACTAATTAAATAAAGTACTATTTTACCGCAATTTTTCTGAATTAACACATATCAGTCATCATGTTTTACTTTCTCGCACTTACTAACGTAAGAAGAGAAGTATTGCAATCGTGCGCTGGAAAACAGCGAATTTTCGACACAAAAACTTATTGCAGCGCCCTGGTAACGAAAAAGAGAATAAATCCAGTTGCTAAATATAGAAAAAAATCCTCTAGCACGTGGTGTAATAAGAATCCATGATTTGTGCGTCCTTCATACCGAAAAATCGATTGACGGCAAAACATCCGTCCGTTCGTCTGTCCGTGCACTGCGCTAGCGCATAAACCATCCAGCCGATTTTCTCCAAAATTGATATTCGTCAATCGCTCTGGCTGATATCGAGGCCCCTGGAATTTGAAACCGATATATTATTTTTGGGGGGGGGTACTTTACCTGAAGTACCTCGTCCGTTTTCAAAATTTTCAAAAGATAGCCTCACATTTTTTATTATATTTTGTTGTTGAATAGTGCGAAGAACGCGAGAGAATGGTACAGGTCCTTTTGTGCAGGTACTTTCCCAATTTTCAAAAATTAAAAAAATTAAAACTACAAAATTGAAGATAGAGATTCTTGTCTCAGTTTGTTGTACAAAATTAGCTATTTAAAAAAGATCATGTACACTTTTTTTTAAAAACTAAGTAGTTTTTGCATAATATGGTGGTAATATATAATTAAAATTGAATAAAGGTTTACCCAAATGCATGGTATTTTTTTTTCATTTTCTCCTTTCGTGTTACATTTAAATCGAATATTTAGTGGGAAAACCTAATTGGGCTAATTGCTATTAAGATTTACAGATTGTTCGAAAGAAAATACATCAATACATTCAGAATATAAATATATAACTCGCAACACAGGCAAAAAATGTGGATTATCAAATAGGTTTTAAATCATTTCTAAAAAGTTAATTAGTAAACGTATAACACAAGCTCGAATGTAAGAAACTAACAAAGAAATATGAAATAATACACAAATTCTAACTTACGTAGCATGCAACTGCATCCAAGCACAACTCAAATTACGTTCACGAAGCGCGGAAAATTTGAAGCTGGCAATTGTATTTCATGACAAATTACACACAAATAGTTATATTTTCGTAAAATTGAACTTGACCTTATTTAAAGATATGATTTTGGTGCACTCATTTCATTTTGAAAAAAGTTTATCTTCACAATTGTTGTTGCAGGAAGATGCAGATATTTTTATTTTTTATTTTTTTTTTTAAAAAAAATAGGGGATATCTGCAAACATGAGACCTGCACTATTCTCTTAAGCATCCTTCACGATATCTGAGATCAACATTTAATTGCAAAATTTGGAGCAGTTTTTAAAAAATGTTTCAAATAACAATTATTCATGTTTAACACAAAATTACACAAAAATACCCTATTTTCCAAAAATTGAGCATGATATTATTTGAAGATCAATTTTTGATGAACACATTTCATTATGTAAAAAAAAAAATATATTCATAATTGTAGTAGTAGGAAGAGGCTGAACAAATTTTGAATTTTTGCAATTTTCAAAAAATTAGAACTTTTAGCGAACGTGAGACCTACTCAATTCTTTTAACCACACTACAAGTTATCGGAGGTCAAAATTGAATCAAAACATTTGGTGTCGAATTTGAGAATGACCTCCATCTCGAAAAGTGACCTCCTCCTTGCCTAGGTTTTTTAGTATTCTCTTGGCCAGAATAAAGACGTTCCTCATTTTGCTTCCAGGTTGCAGGATACATAATCATCCTTTCCTTTAGTGTTCAGAACAAAAACTCAAACAATTACCATATCATGATTTTATTGTTTTCTACACCTCAAAAGAATCTACAAATAATCATCCTGTTTTTTAACATTAATTGACTTAACTAATATAAACCCAACTAAGTAATAAAATAAATAAATGAAATCCACTAAATTATTTTTTTCTCTCAATAGGAAGCAATTCCTCTTCGTGTAAAAGGCTTCCATATTGTAAACCAACCCTACGTCTTCAACATGGTGTTTGCTCTCTTCAAGCCATTCCTGAAGGAGAAGCTTTCAAGCAGGGTAAGTAAATTTCTTAAACAACTTTCTTTTGTTTGTGCTTTGTTATTTCATTTCTTCTCATTTTCTTTAAATATTTTTTATTTCGTGAAAAATGCATTTTAAATATTTTTTTATGCTAACTTTTTCTGATGTAGTGCCATTCTTTCACATTTATGGCATTTTTGTTCTGTTTTACCTCTGTTTCTTCTTCTTTTTTATAAAGACCAAAGAACTTGTAGTACAACCAGTATTTTTGAAGAATTTTTTCACTATTTTATTTCCCCAAAAGAAAGATGTGTGATGTATCAAACTTTTACAACATAGAAATTAGAATAATACCATCTGTACCCATTTCTCTTTTTACACTGTTATAACAGCTCTTAAATGTGTTCATGTTATTTAATAAATAACTCAAAAACTATTACAAATATTACTATTTTCTTATTTAACAAATCCAAGAAAATTAATTTTTTTCTTCTGTGATTTGTAGATTGTGTTCCATGGCACTGACCGCCCATCTTTACACAATTATATCTCTCCTAAATGTTTGCCTGAATGCTATGGAGGGACTATGGAAATGGAACGCATTCCATCGGAGAAGTGGTATGAGGTTTTGACTCCTATTGAACATGAGTTCAAAGGTAAGTTTAACTTTACAATAAAGAAATTGATAAATGGCTAGTCCTATAGAATTTATTTAGTGAAAAAATATTCAAAGTTTTCATTTGAAACTATTCTTAATTTCATCTAAATATGATTAATCTTTTTAATATATTCATTAATTAACATTTAGCAATAGTATAATATTTTAAAATAATTGCCATTGTTATATAATATCAGCCTCCTCCTCAGTTCAATTGATTTGATTAATTCTGCAATGGTAAATTGCAAATTACTAGTATTTGTTGTTCATTTAATATAGTCTAAAAGTGACAAGAAAGACCTACATTTCTTTAATAATGAATTTTCATTAAATTGAATTCTTATTTAAGAATTTTCAGTTGTTTTTTTTTTTTGCATTTATATTTTATATATGCGGCTTGCGGGATAAATAATGATCTCTGACAGTTTCAACAGAATCAAGATTACAGTCCCTATGAGTTAGAGGGAGTTGCTTTGCCTATATTTCAGAGATTTCAAGAATACAAACAAATGTCAGTGTTAATTTACTGTTAAGTTATAGCTTACGTTGTTTGTTTCACATAAAACTGTGCTATCATATGACATTTTTCTATGAAACATGATTCGTCAGATACCATTATTTACATCTGAATTCATAGGCATGTGCGCAGGGCTGTGGACCCCTTGAACATTTTTAGAGGTCCCATTGCTAAGCATATAAAACATTTTATTTTGTGGTTTAACTTGTTTTACCTGACAATTAAGGATATTTTAAAATTTTAATTAATTTAATTCACATTAGAAACAGCTGAGATTATTAGTGACAACAATTATTTTATACATAAAGAACATTTTAAAAGTTATAATAAAATATAAAATGAGATGTTTGTTTAAAAACTTTATTTAATTTGTCAAGTCCAGTAAATTAGGAAATTTTCTATATGACATTTGGTGAAGAGGCTGTTCAGGTCATCTGGCAACCGTTGATCATAAAACCATTTGAATTTATTAACCGTTATGATTAAACTTATAATTGAATTCTCTTCACATATTATTTTATTTATTTTCAAGGAAAAGAAATTCATATTCAAATCTAAAAAACATGCAGTGCAAAAAGGGGACTCAGAATTATAGTTGGACCACCCTGTTGTTTAAGGCTGCCCACGCCTATGGCTGAGCTTCAGACCTCTTCTATATCAGACCTAATAATTAATAAATAATTTGAACTTACACAATTATACAATACAAAAAAAAATATTGATTATAAAGTGAAATAATACTATAATGGCTGCAGACTTATTACAGGCTCCTTTAGTAGACTTTCCATTAAGCAAACATATAATGAAAAAATCATAACAAATAACAGAATTATATAATTGTTAAATAAAGAACCTGAGGACAGAATAATTTTAAGAATTAAAATAAATTTAAATTATGAAAAAGAAAAGGAGATATTTTTCAAAATTAAATGAATGATTTATATAGGTGTAAATATTTTGTTTTTATTTTTTACTTCAACAATATTTGAGAGAAAAATATGTCAACATTAATCACATTGCATACTAAACATTTGTTTAAGATTGTGCATTCATATAAATTCATCAAGATTATCATTTAAAATTTACAGAAATTTTGAAGTATGGATACCTCAAGGCTATTGCAGCAAAAGAAAAGGACAAGAAGAAGTAAGTCTTGAATATGTGTATGTGGCAACAGAAGTTTTACTTAATAGTGACTGCTAAAAAGAAAAATGCAAGTAATTTCAGAGCAATGAAACACTTGTCAATGTTTGTCAATTACATGAATTTTCCACCCTGTGCTAATCAGATTATGGTGGTTTATCCTCTTTGAGGTGTAATAGTGTTATTCTCATTTTGAGACTGACAGAAAGATGTGGTTGTGCCTACATTCCTGTAATGTAGTTTTAAGTTTCAATTTATAAGCAAGTAACTATTAGTTCATATAATGATTTGCACTGGTTACATTTCTTTTCATAACTTCATTCTGTGATTATTTTTCTTGTGGGGAAAAAAAGGACAATCAAATGTCAGCACAATAAACATGGAAATGGATTCCTTTTTCTGTAAATGTAGAGACTGTTCTAGTACTTACAACAATGTACATAAAAAGCTCACTTATGAATATTTTATACACTGTTACTTCTATAAGAATGAATTAAACTTTTATAATCCACATTCTGTTAATAATTGTAAGGTATGAAATTATATTTTGTTGAAAGTATTAAATGTTTAAAGTATTCTTGAATATTTTTGTGTTTTTTTTATTTTTATTTTTGTGTTTTTTATTTTTTATTTCTCATTCACTTCTGCTTAGAACATCTTGGCTCTACAATTAAGATTTTTAGGCAAATGCATATCTGAAGAAATGGTTAGAACATATGGAAAGAATGAATGAAGGAAAATTCCCAGAAGTTGCTCTGAAGTATAAAACTGTAGGGAGGAGAGATACAGAAAGACCACGAAAGAATTGGATTACTCGGGAACATCTGGAACATTTATAATACCCTTTCTAGGCCTACTGCTTCATTAGAAGTAGGCTTCAGCTCTTTGATTAAAGAGTTCCTACCGTATTTGAAGAAAATTATTATTTTGATGAAGATACTTGATTAATTCTGCCCTTTCGGGTAAGACCATGGTAAATCTCTAAATAACAGTTTTGTTAATAATAGTAGTTTTGAATTGGGTAGCGTATAGCATCTCAATATGGAACAAGTCTGGTATGTCCCTCTCTGTATCTAAACTGAGAAGTAGGCATTTGGAATGATAACCAACCCCTGTGATGGCAAGATAATGTTATCTTAAAAGTCAAGAAAGCAGGCTACAGGAGGATTCATGCATTCAACCTTAATGTAAATGAAGCAGATGTTGAGTCAAAAGCATCTCATGTCCTCTGTTATAATCCAAATTCTTCAGAAAGCTCACTGACTTTGCAGAGGGTAAAATTTGTAGATATCTGTGATGTGGCAATGTTATATAAATGTATTATAATGTAATCACCACCTACACTTAAAACACATTACGTAACCTCTATTGTCATTGCTGGATTAATCTCTTACGGGATCTTTAGCATGACCAAACTATAAACTTTCCCTAATTATATTGAAATATTGAACAACAATATTAAAATTAATATGAAAATAGAACTATTATCTTCATGGTTTAAACATTTAATACAAAAATAATAAATACATTTTTATATAGATTCAGCAAGACTTTCATATACATATTTTTAGATATACATTATCTATCATTTCAATTCTGAATTACTTTAACTTTTTATATCATCATAAAATTAAACATTATTTTTATATGTATTTATGTCATGGGTGGATACAGCCAATCATTTTGGGTTTCTGTTAAAGATTTTTGTTAAATAATAAACATATTTGTTATTATATTATATATTATTGATGTACTCTAGAAATGAAACTAGACAATATTATTGTTGGGATAATTACATAATTCAAACATAAATAAGTATTTAAATCAATTTTGCGAAATAAAGAAAGGTGAATGAAAATTCTAGGCATGCCCCCCACTTCCACCCCATCTGCCAGTGATTTATGTCACATGGGCCACTTTTTTATCAAATATATCCTGCAGGGGCTCCAAGTACATACTTAGTCTTGTTATGTATTAATCCACTTCTAACTATGGTTTTATGTTTAAGTTTGTGCAGTGTTTGGGCTGAAAGTTCAGAGACGATATTAAATAATAAATGAGTCATTCTAAAATGAATTAATAAATGTTCTGTGTAGTAATCAATGTTTCTTTGGTTGATATTTATAGGTTAACATTTTTTGTCGAACATTTTGTTACTGTTGTGGCGTACCATATTGACCTATAACGTCAGGAAAATAACAGTAGAATACATTTAATATTGCTTTATTTATTCCAAAAATAATCTAAAGAAACAAGGTACAGAGAAGATCCTAACACAAAGCCTAGCCTTGTGAGTTAAAGAAGGAAAGCACTATAATACATTGAAAAGAAATAAACATAATAAAATCAGTACCAATTGCATGGAAGTTCATCCAAGAAACAAACTGAGAGAACAGAAAGATACCATCTTGTGGATGCTGGAAAGAATACATCACTCTATTTTTTTTAAAGAAAAAGGACTGTGACTTTTTTAAAGACTTTTGAGATATGAAAAATATTATCTAAATGTGTTAATAAAGGTCAACTTAGTAAAGAGATGAAACACAAAAATCAGTATAGCTGTCTAATCCATACTTTCAAAATTTGTTTGATGAAATTGATCTGAAAGAATGTGAAAAGGCAACCCTTGAACTTTTGGATTTTACTGGCAGATCAAAGGGGGAGGGGGCATGCCCCCTCCCCCGAAAAAGATTTAGTTTTAGTTTACCTTCTTTTATTTGACAATTTGATTTAAATATGTATTTGTGTGAATTATTAAAACAATAATATTGTATAGTATCCTATCTATAGTACATAAATAAAATAGTTAAATAACAAATGTTTATTATTTCACAAAAATCTACGATCCCAAATGATCTGCTGGATCTGCCCCTGCTTGGTTTATATACAAACAAGTAATGAAATCTGCAGAAACACTTATGCCTTAAAACACCTATTTCATCATTATTAAAATAAATGTAGTAAGTAAAAAAGAAAGTAAAGTATAGTTGAATGATTAATAAAAGTAGCAAGAAAGAGAGGTTAGCAACATTTGAAAATAAATTTTCTCTCCCAAGTAATAAAAAAAATTACTATTTGTGTCAGTAAATGTACTAGAGATTTGATTTTATAGTATTTCTTACAAAAGAGCTATCCACCCGCTGGCTCTACTCTTACCAGGACTATCAAAAGGATAGCTCAACAAAATTTATACATAGTGAGACTACATTTATGAAGTGAAGTTTTTCTAATGTTATCAGTAGTGTGTTCCTTTTTGTATTTTAAACTTATATTTTATTTGAAATTGTTTCATTAAATAAATATGTGAAAAAGTTATAGGAAGAGGAAGGAAGTTAGAAGAGTTAATGAAGGAGTTACGGAAGAATTAACCTTCCAGTTTTCCAATGATAATTACTGAGATGGCCTTCTCACCTTGATATACACTGGACACTTTCATGTTTTATAGATTTAAATTTAAAATTGATCAACGAATATTTTCAATTACAATTACTTCTAAAGGAAAACGCACTGATAAGTTCCTTAATTGTTTTACAAAATCTATTTTTTCTTACTCGATAAAATATTTGAAATAGATTTGTAACTTTCAGTTATAATAATAAATTTTATGAAGAAGTTACGTGGTTAGTTGTACATTGGATCCTTGAACATTAGTGAATAAGTTCCTTCTTAATTATCATAGAGATTGCACATCATACAGTGTGCATGTTCAATTTATAAGGAAGGTAAATTCGGAAAGTACAAGCAAATGAGTAAGGAGGCTGGTAAAACTTGATAGAATTCTGTATGTGTACAGATATGAACTAAATTTAAGATGACAAATTGATGTATATACTTATTGTTTCTTTTCTGTTATGAATAATCGTATCAACTAAATAAACTGTTCTTCACTTTCTAATAGACGAGGGTATGATATTTACATAGAGAAGGATGAAGGCACGGTCTACGATCAAACCTCTGAAGTCTCCATGGTCAATTGACAATGAATTAGGTAAAAAGTGAGTAAATAATGTTTTTTTCATGCCAGTTCAGTATTTCTACTCTGTGTTAGTTTAGGTTCAGCATGAAGCTATTTCCAGTTTTCAAATAATGAATTATGCAAAATGTTCATACATGTTCAAATAGCATTATTAAATTAAATTATGAATTTTTTCATAATAGAAAATTTTTAATTTTAAGCATTTTCATCTTGATAAATCAAACTGTTTTCTGGGAATATTAGGAAAGAAAACTTGAGTCAGCATTACACCAAAGGAAAATATATTATGTGAAAATTACAGTTTATACAATATCATATATAAATAACAAGAAAATAAATTGGTGGAACTTTTTCACCACTATCAGCAGGTATCAAGTTGATTAATTGACTTCATTTTTCGTCTTACTTTGGAAGTTTGGTGTACCCATATTTGGTTAGTTCTGAAACAGAAGTTCTTATGTTATTACAGGTCTTCCACAATTTTTTTTTTCTTAGTTGTAACATTAAGTGTTGAAAAACAAGATCAGCACAATAAATATAATATATCCATTGATTTCTGTGATTTAAAAATTGTATCAGTATAAATTAAGTGATGATCTTCATAATTCAAGAACATGATTCTCATAATTATTGTGCTAGTATCTATGCAATTATTTGATGATTATCCATTTCAAGGAGTAGAAGAATAAACATGCTAAACATTATTTTCCTTTTTAACTATATCAGGCTACATAAATGTTATGAGCTATCAAGTACCACATCAGGAGTTGGTGTTGATACTTGGAAGCAAAAGGCAAGCAGCCACTGAAGTCACAAGCAGTCCAAATAATCATTGTATGTCATGTAGGGTATTTATGTTGTACAATAAACATATTGTACTTCTACAATGAATTGAATTGAATTTACTGAACATACTTTTACAATACACTTGCTAAACTTAAAAAATAGTTTTACAAAATCCTTCTTTATTTTGGTGTTACAGATTTCTATTGTAACTCTCCCAAGTACTTAGTCCATCTCTCTTATCCTCTCCCCTCTGATTTGACTTTTCATGCTGCTTTGTCCTCTGAAATTCCTTTATCCATTTAAAACCTCCTCCCCTCTCCTCTTTCACTCTCTCCCATTTCCTATTTACCTTTCCTCTTTTACTGCACCTAGACAATACAGGTCCGCAGAGGCATAATTACATTCTTGAGGGTTCCATTGCAGAGAGTCTTGTCATTGTAATTGCAATCTTGATGGGGGAGGGGGGGGTCAGTGGGGTGTAACCTTGACAGCCCCCGCCGCCACCGCTACCCACATTTTTTATACTAGTTATATGGTCTTCATTTATACTTTTAAATAATTGAATGGAATGGAATTGATGTCTTATTTTACGTGGCGAGACTCGAGCCACCAGGCCCGTTCTTCCGTCTGACCACGAAAATTTCGCTGTGCTCCTTTCACCCGGAGAAAAGAGTATCACTCGGGTGAAGAAACAGGCAATTTGAATTTAGCTCAGAGGCTTCGTTAAGGCTTGATGATCTTTTACGTGCAGTAAATCTTCTAACATGGGATACCCGTCTTTACTTCTCCTTCAAAGGAAAGTGTCCACGGCTTCGATCGGGTTTGAGCCCCAACTTAGGTATAACAGTTCGATACGCTAACCGTTTCACTGTCGCCGCCGCCATAACTAAAATGTAGGAATAGGAATGACTAAGAAACGTCAGCATACAAGTATGAAAATTAAATCGTAAGTCTGAAACGTATAAATTCGTAGGCGCTAGTCTCATCTAGGTACCTTTCCTAGATGCTAAGATGGACAATATTCTGGTAACCACCAATTTCTGAATGCACGATCCGCCACGCGACTAAAGAAATAACTTCACTGAAATTGTTCAGCAAAAATTCAGGTATTTTGAGAAAACTTCGCCTATTTTTTGTACAATCATAATGTTAGTTTTCCCACCCATACAAAGTCAGAAGCGAAAATTGTTTTTAAAAAACTCGCTGACTGTAAACATTAAGATATTTTCACAAAACTTGTCACATCATTTCATTTGTTTGATTTATTTTCCGTTAAAAAAAAATAAAAAAATGTATGTGACGTATGGAGGTGAAGTAGTACGATCTGCGCATGCTTTTTTGAGTTTCAGAATCTCTTTTATTATAGAAATTATATACTTCGTTTACCAGATTTGCCAACCAAAATTGTTTGCCTATCAGCAGAGAAAAAAAATTGAAGCGAAAAGATTTTCCGGCTAAAAAGCAAGAAACATTTTGGTATTCTGATAAAACTTGGCACATGGTTTGTCATTCCATTAAAAATTTCGTAGGACTGTATATTAATGTTACGAGACAACCGGGGGGAGGGGGGGTAAATTGCACATGCCCTTCCATTTACAAAAAAACTCAGAAAATCGAATCTCCCTCATGAGGGCATTATCAGTTAGTATTAAGGTACTAAAAAATAAGATCAGACAGTGAACTTTGATGACATTTCTTTAAGGAACCCTAACTTATCTCGTGTATACTTCTTGTTTGAAATAGGATTGTGCTTATTAGAATGTCTTTGCTGCTTATGCTTATCCGATGCTACCTGGGAGACTAGGCCGGTGCCACCTGGGTGACCGTCCGCTAGATGGCTAGATGGCGTTGGTTGAACATCACAGGCCAGCTGCACACGTAAGCCTTCAATGTTAACGTATAACTTACTATAGCTATTAATCGTAGAAAAATCACTGAATAAAACTCAATGTAACGGCCACTGCTTGAAGTTTGCGATACTCACTCGTTCCTCGCTAGTATTGTAATATCACTTCATACTTGTGTAATACTACCCGTCATTACATCATTTATCATATTTGAATAATAATCTTGGAGAATGTGCCCGTGATTGCAAAAAAATCCTTTCTCCAGGCTCAGAAATGTACATGAGGGAGCGGTATTCGTTACTTAGGAATGCTGGAGCACGCGTCTATCTTTGGGTTATTGTATTTGCTTTTCTGAAATCATATTAGGAATAATTATCGTCTACAGTGTGCCCGCGATTTCCCCAAATCTACCTTTCTGCCAAAGTACATAAATAAATAAATTTAAAAGTGGAAGCGTGCATTCGTTAATTACACCACGCTAGCGGAGGAGTTTTAGAAGAATATTATCGAAAGTTTTCAATTTATTCTTAGTACCTATGATAATTTTTAAATTAATAAAATAAGGGCCGGATTAACGTTTGCAAGGGCTCCGGGGAGGTCTTCGTGTAGGGGCTCTTGTAATTTAATAACACGATCCGATTGCCGATAGTATCTGAGAATTCAGATCTCAAACACTAGCGCGCGTAGGAAAGAATGTTTTTATCAGGATAACCGCTTACAGCGGGAATTACTGGCTACGAGAATATCAAGTCGCCTCTTTCTCGAGCGTGTTCTCAATGCAAAAGGTTTTCATGCCCCGCAGAATCGTGTAGCGTATGTCGCTGAAGAGAACGAGAAAGAATACGCGGCTATTGATATATACCTTTTTCACTACTTTTCTCTTCCTTTCATGTTTTTCTGTCGCGGCCCTGTTTTGGAGACTTCCTTTGCGATTTGACGGAATTTGCGGGGATCCCGGAGTGGCTGCTGCATCCGATCCCTGCTTAATCGG